AACACTTGTACATGGCCTAGAGTATTGTGCCATGTCCTGAGTTATAACTAATTTTTTTCTCCTGTGTGAAACTTAATCTATAATCTTCCAAACAGTCAATTTCTTTTTCTTTAGAACTCATTTTGTTGACGGTATAGCAAGATTTTATGTTAATAATGTGAATGCATGGTGCAGTGTTCAGTGGTTCAATTATTGTGTTTAATTATGTGAGTCAATTCATTATTGGTGCTGACTGCGCTTGGTTAAGCCCAGGTGCGGGCTCAAGAAAAGTAAACAAACAGTTATTAGAGCTGGAAACCAGAGTTGAAGCATGAAATATACATTTTAAAACCCTGTAAATAAATCCCTTTACCTACCTAGTGTCAACTCTCCACAGTTATGCAATGTGAAATATTCAACACATCAGAAGACTACACAGTAAATTAGTACATTACTTTTTCAAATGCAGAAAGACACAAATTTGCAGGATTAAAGTGTCCCCTCTTCCATTCTCCATCACACTGGAGAAGGGGAAGAAATGCAATGTTCTTCACATTCTATGTGAAAATTAAAACAAATCTTCAAAATGTTAGGATTGAGGAACACTGGGATAAAGTTTAAAAGTTTGCAGTTTCAGCCAAAGTTTATGAAACAGGGAAGAATATCAGGAAATTCAGCTTACAGTTTAGGCTATCCCATTCATTTCTTATCCCATTAACTGCAATTGACAAGGATGTTGAACCAATGGCAGACGAGCAGTGTTCCTGGAAGTAAATCAAAGAGTGGATTCTGCAGCTGTGGGATCACACCCTGTATTGTTGTCATAGTAGCAGACATCTTATTCCGTAGCTGGCAAACATCACTTAACCTACACAATCAAAACAGAAGTTGCTGGAAAAGCTCAGCAGATCTGGCAGCATCTGTGAAGAGAAATCAGAGTTAATGTTTCGGGTCTGGTGACCTTTCCTCAGAACCCTTATCACTTAACCTACAGTTGATAAATATTAAAACCAGGGAATAAATTCACAGAATTTATATTTATAATGGAAAGCCAGGCTTGAAATGAGCAGGGGCTAGAAAGAAGACTATAACACTACAGCCCTGATTGTCAAATCTGTGCTTCTGCCAAGCGAGAAATGTTTGATTGGTGAAATTACTTTCAGATACTAAAAGACAACCAAATAAGCCTTTTTGTTTTCCAGGATGGGCAATGTCTTCCTTCAAAGCATTTCTTAAAAAAAACACACAATTTGTTGCAGGAAACAGGAAGGTAACAATTCATTAATTTCAGGCATATTTGCATATCAAACAATTACAAATTGATAGCCTGCTGACTGCATTAACCATAGAAACAAGTTAATGGTACATGAAACATTGCAGGGGATAAAATAGCAAAGGTGAAAGAATTGACTTAGTCATGCTGATGAGTTTCCCTTCTGTGTAATTTCCATCTAGTGACTGGTTCAGATCTTTTGTGATGCTGAAATCACTTTGAGGTGTGTTGCTTCACTCCCACCTTCCTGCACTCCTCATTTCTGAGTCTCCTGATACTGGCTTTCACAGAATTGCGGGTGTACAACTCCATGAAGAACTTCACTGCAGCACTGGAGAGTTGGGGTGGGGGGTGATGAGAAGACACCCCCCACCCACCCTTTATGCAGCACTTTACATGACCAGCGTGAATGTTTGCAAATGGGTGTATGGATGAAGAAGTGAATAAGCAGCACAATAGTGTGGCTAGGTGGGTAAAGTAAGTGGGTGATTGGTCAGAGCGGCAGGTGGGTAGGATAGGTGAGTCAGTAAGAAGATCGGGGTACTTGGGCTGCGTCATGAGATGTTGTCCCATTTGGACTTATCAGGTTATTTGGATGGAGTAGTCAGATGGTGGGAGCTGGTCAGGTGGTACCAGGGTTGTGGAGGGGGCATCAGGTTGATATATCTGGTCAGTACTGTAATATATCTGGCTAAGGCGGTGGTCAGGTGGTGGAGGTTAGTCAGATCTGGTCGGGTGGGTGTGAAAGAAATTAAAGGACTGAGGGATTATCAGTGAGAGTGTCTGGAGTCTCAGTTGAATAATTAACCAGGAGTTAGACTAAGATTTTCCTGGCTAACATTTCCTGAGTTACTATCTAGGTAAGCCTGCAGAACAGCCTGAGGTCTTCAATTCCAGCTCAGAGTTGGAGATTTTTGCAAAAGATCTCAGGGAGTCATGGGATTGTTTATTGGAAGTTCAAACTTCCCGGGTATTTTCTTCAGTGGTCAGGGCACTATGACTTCTACAAAGTCCTGATATGCATCTCCAACAAGAGATGAGAACATCTTAACCTTAGTGCTGTGGGACTATTAATCTAGATGCCTGGACTGATGTTCGAGATATCTTACCGGGGTGGGGGGGCTGAGGAATTTAAACTGAGTAAAATCAGAAGATAATTATTGTAAAGCTAGTATTGGTAATGATGGCCATTACTGGTCATCACAATGGTGACATTACCATCCATGTACCTGATCCTCTTAAAAACACAGCCAATTAATGAGTGTCCTTTAAGGAAGGAAATCTGCTGTCCCTACTCCAAATGGATCCAGACCCAGTGACATGCAGCTGACTCTTCACTGCCCTCTGAAATGATCTAGCCATCTTTTGACAAAAATTAGCTGGGACTCCAGACATGGCAAAGGCACAGTAAGAATTGTAATTCCTGCAAAGTCTCCCTCATTAACATCTGCTGACTTGTCATTAATGTTGGGAGACCGGTCTCACAGATTAGGTAAGAAGCAGCCTGACATTGTCATACACACACAATTACATATATTTCAGCCAGATTTTTTTTCCCAATTGGACGGACCCAGTAGAGACAGGTGTAACATGGAATACGGCAAGGAAGATGTGGCCCTGCACACCCTCAAATTGACTCTGGAGTCTATGAAGTCAGATAATATCAGGTCAAAAGGAAACCTCCCGCTGATTAATACCTATTGCCCTTCCCCAGTTGATGAATCAATGTCCCTCCATATTGAACATTTAGTGGAATAAACACTGATGGTAGCAAGAGTGCAGAATGTACTTTGGTTGGTGGATGGATTGGGTGGATAGACTTCAATGTCCCTCCACTAATAACTGAATGAATGGAGTCCTGAAAGACATATCCGCCAGACTGGACCTGTGGCAGGTGGTAAAGGAACCAACACAAGAGAAAACCTACGTGGCCTCATCCTCACAAATATTTCTGTCACAATACACCTGTCCATGACAGAATTTGTAGGAATGACCACACAGTCTTTGGTAGAGGAAGTCCCATCTTCACACTGAGGATGTGCTCCATCGTGTTTTGTGGCATTACCACCATGATAAATGGATTAAAGTCAAACCAGATTTGCAGCTAAAATCTGGGCATCCATGATAATGTTGTAGGTCTTCAACAACGATTGAATTGTATTCAATCATTGTCTGTAACTTCACAGTCTGACATACCCCCCTCAGTCTACTATTTCCATCAAGTCAGGGTACCAACTCTGATTCAGTGATCATAGAAGAATATTCCAGGAGCAGCACCACATAAAAATGAGGTTATAGCACAGGACAACATGCAAATTAAATAGTGGAGGCAGCATGCAATAGACAGAGTTAAGTGATCAGACAACAACAGATTAGATCAAAGCTCAGCTGCCCTGTTATATCAAATGATGAATGATTGTGGTAAAGTGGAAAGCTTATTTGAGGAGACGCCAAGAACAGCCTTATCTTTACCAATAATAGAATGCAGCATATGAGTACAAAGGACAAGTTGAACTATCCTCAGTCAAAAGCACTAAGTTGATATTTCATTACAGCCTCTACTTGAGGTTACTACTAGTACAGACTCCACAAAACCATTCCATTAACTTTAAAACACAAGTCACAAGTGTTGAAATAATCTCTGCATGATGTGTGCCACTTTGAAAATTCATTTCCTACACTAATGGCACACCATAGCTACAATGAGTAACTACTGTAAGACACACCATAGGAACTTGCCAAGTCTCTTTCAACTGCACCTCCAAAACATACAAGCTTTTTCACCTCGAAGTACAAGGGCAGAATATGCATGGGAACACCATCACCTACGTGTTCCCTTCTATGGCACAGACCATTCTGACTAGGAATGATATCATCATTCTTTCACACGTTCAAAATGCTGAAATGTTTCATTTAGTAGCACCCTGGATGTACCTACAACACGAACTGCTTCAGCTCAAGAAACTGCCTCAACACTGCTTTGTAAAGGGCAGTTAACAGACAGGTATTAATTGCTGGTATTGACAGTGATGTCATGAATGGAATAAGAGAAATGAAAATTCCTCTTGGAGCCAGTTAATTTTGAACCCTTCATCTTGCGTATTTCTTTGAGTGTATTAGAGCTTTTGTACATTTTTTTTCAATGACAAAGGCAGTAATTACTACTTTCACTGTTTGGGCAGTAATCTGGTAGAAATGAATCACCTGTCTGCTTTGGAACTCTCCCGATTTGCTTCTGAATGATTCGAACTAGATAAAAATCAGCTGGGCTTTACAATGGGCAGGCGATTAGGCTTGCCGGATCGTTGCTCAGAAAATAGAGATGAAAATTAGTCTTCAAATTGCCCATTTACTGTATGAAACTATGTCATATTCTTTAAATCGATGCTCATCATTGAAGAAGCATGATCTTTGTTAAATTCCACTCTATATACGTTTTACTAATTGTCTTGCATGATTATTCCTACAGTGAAATTTTGCCTTATTCAGTAGCAGACACTTTAATTAACCTTACAGATAACTTGCCAAATTTAGTTCAAAATATGGGTACCATGGCCAAAATGAAATTTATAAGTAGACGACAAAAGTGTTTAAGCTGCTTTAGAAATTTCAAATTTTATTTTCTCCGAATACTGGAACTGTTGCAGATGATAATCTATATTCCAAATATTCATTGCCAAATGTGAAATGAGCATTTCTGATATATTCCTATTTTTGGAAATCTCTTTCAGTATCAAATAGTACCTACCCCATTAGCTTGGCTGAGTGCTTGAAAATATATACTGTAGCTTTTCACTGGGGACAATGGCGGATTCCAATAGCCATTGTACGTTTTGTTATCTCCAACAGTAAATGGCTGAGTCATAGGAAGGTTCACAGGTCTCAGCTCTGCAGCAGTGTAATGTAGTGAATCAAATACAGAAGCATTCTTGTAGCTGACTGGGACAGGAAAACAGTCAGTCGTATCTGCTGCTCTCCTGGCCTTTTGTAAGTGTTCTTCCTTAACAACCAGTTGATAGGCACTGTAAAAAAATCAGAAGAAAATTGCATTTAAAATACTTGAAAGAGTGCAGAATTTTAGTTTGAATATAATGTTGCAATTTACATATTGTTGCTAATATCTGACCAATAGCTTCAGTTCTGATTCCGGTTAGGGACTATTTACATTGGCTCTATCCTTGCTCACTTTGGCTCCTGTAATCCCAACAGTTCCCATTTAAAAGTCTGATCCCTTTGTTAATTTCCTTGCACAATTCCATCCTTTTTTTTCATCCCCTTCTCAGTTTTCATTCTTCTCTGTTATTACAACTCGCCAGGTTAGACAGCCAGCATATAAATAGTGGCTGATGGTGGCAGGGAGAGAGGGCAACTAATTAAGGATTTCTTGCAGCACTTTGACCTGCTCCTCTTTGCCTGCAAGAAAACCTTAGAAAATTAACGCAATAAACCTTGCCTTGTTTTGTAGTGTCTTTTGGCTTTCAGCAATTTTTTTCCTCCAATTGATTTGGTGCTTTGCTGGTCTTCCAAAACCAGGGCTATGTTGCTTTTGACATCATTGGACTCTGACTTGCCCGTGTAAAATGGACCCCTGCCTGCCTGTGATGCCCTACGTGTGCCTGATTTAAAAGTCACAATAATGTGTGGGGTGGAGGAGTGGAGATTGGGGTGGTATTTTTTGGCAATGGGGTAGGAACATCAGATACCTAACCAAACCATTCACTGTTATCATTTCTGATTAGATTCATGGTTAAATTCTAACCATCCCACTCCAGAAGTCTAACATTGCTTTACTTCAGAGTTAATGTAATCCCAATCCAGGTTTAAGTAGGAAAATTAATTGTTAATGCAAGGGAAAATGATTTGTACCAACTCTAAACTGAGCATAATTATACCATTTAAAAGATATTTGGTCAGGTACATGGATAATAAGGATTTAGATAGATATGGGCCAAATGAAGGCAAATAGGACCAGACCTGGTTGGCATGGATGAGTTGGGCTGAAGGGTCTGTTTCTGTGCTGTATGGCTCTATGACTCTAAACTTGCACGATAAATGCATTTATGAAAAATATTTATTCTGCTAGAACAATGCAAGATATGATAGAATGATGTAAAATTTTGAAAAATATAAGGCTGAATAATAAGAAGCAGATGTTTTCAGTCATTCAGGTATCAAAAATGAGGGTCAGTCAATGTAAAATTAGTGATAAAAGTTTACAATGCAAATTAATTAAAGTGATTTGGAACAAAAGGCATGAAAAATGTCTTTATAGAGATCCCTAAGGCTGTAGAGTTCACTTCAGGGCATCAATGCTGCAAGTATTCAGTGTTTGTTGGGATAGATGGATGAAGGAACAGAGGTGGAGGTTTGATTTAACAAATTAGTTATTTGTGATTAAGGACTAATTGCTCAAATGTAAAATTAATAAACTGAAACATTGGTTGTGTGAAATGGCTTATTGTGTTGTTTGAACTTCTATGTGCAGCAGATTCAAATAGAATTCAAGAACTGACATTCTTACATTCAAAGACAGCATTCACCTTTGTGAAGAATATTTCAAATAGAAGTCTTACATGATAACTTGAAGGTCCATCAACTACATAGCTTTTGCAAGCCAAACATAACTGGGGGTGGAATCTTGGGCAGCCCATGGGGGTCTTGCCAACTGGCTGCACAGCTGGTGAGACACCTGAGCTGACTCCTTTGGGAAGGCCTGATCATGCATTTTAATGGTCAGCAGAAGGCTTTTCCCCCATGTCAGGACACCAGGGCAATAAGAGGTTGGCAGCTCTTCTGCTCGGTGGAGAGAGAGTTACTGCTGCATGAACAACAATGGCTGGACGTCCCGTATTGTGGTGCAACCCAGGCTACAGGCAAATAATGTTGGGAGGGGTTTTCAGGCTCGTGGGCAGAATGGTGTAGGAGGGGTCAGCAGCAAAGGCTGTGGTTAGCTCTAATCAGGCCCTGCCTTCCTAAAGCTCAGTCCTCTAATCAGTCGCTGAGTGCTTTTGAAGGAGATGGCAAGCAGCCTGCATAGGTTTACTTGTCTTGTATGTTGCATTGCTACAGGCTTCTGGCACTGGGTTAAAACCAGATACAGTGGAATGAGACCCTTAAGCCATTATGAATTGAAGCAGGGCCAGAAAGCCAACTTTCATGCCTGGGAATAAACTAGGTGGAAGTGGGAAAGCATTATGGTGCTTATCTTTCAATTCCTCAACCAATTATATATCCTCACAGCCCTCAAACTTACCACTAGACAAGGAAGATGATTTTGGTCTGGGAGTCCCTTGACAAATTTTTAATTAAATTTGCTGCAATATTCTAGGGGGATGAAACAGATTCGAATGTATTGTCACTGGACTGAAAATCCAGAAATTCAGATAATGTTCTGGAGACCTGGGTTCAAATCCTGCCAATCTGAAGTCAACAAAAAAATCTGGAATTAAAAGTCTAATGATAAAACCATTGTCTATTGTTAGAAAAACCCATCTTGTTCACTAATACCTTTATGGAAGGAAACTTCCATCCTTACTTGGTCTTATCTATATGTGACTCCACACCCATAGCAATGTGGTTGACTTAACTGCCCTCTGGCCAATTAGGGATGGGCAATAAATACTGGCCTGGCCAGTGATGCCTTCACCCCGTGAATGAATAAAAAAAGTACATACGATAGCAAATGTCAATCTCTTGTGCCTTTGGGAAGGTTTTGTTGAAACTTGTACACAGCATAGATATTTTTGTCATTGTGGCAATTGGTTTTGAATGATATGATGGAAGTGTATTTTGAATAATGTGACTACTTTGTTCTTACGATACATAAATTGTATTTTGGACTGTGTTGAAGACCAAACACATCGTAAAAAACATTCAAATATGATCAGGTAGGGAGAAGAGCATTCAATAGGATTGCTGATCAATTCAAGCATTTCCCATAGCCCCTTAAATATAAACATCAATTACATTTCATTAAGTTACTCAACAACAAGGAATTGCAGAAAATATTACATCGCCTTCTTCAAAGGGATAACTCTAATCTAAAAATCTGAATAACAAAATAAATCAGATTTTACTTAATGTAAAGCAGGTAAAAAAGAGTCAAAATAAAGATTGCTTTCATTTAAAAAGATATCTATTACAGACATACTGCGCGGGGAAATTGGATGCCGAGCAAGCATTGACCTGGTTGCTTAATATTCCTGAGATAATGAAATTCAAATATAAATGACTCAATTTAAATTGAGTTTGAATCAGAATTCTGAATGGGACATTAGTCCAAAATCTAATCAGTAAAATATAAGTTAGGTAGAATGGAAATAATGTGTAGTTGTAAATGTTCTCTTTAGAGAGCTGTTTTTAGAGTCAACTTGTATAATTTCAATTGCACCATGTTGGGACCATTCTAAGCACATGACTTTGAAACATTCACTGCTACCACTAAATGGAAAGCATCAACATTTTCATTCTTCTGACTTTAGCTTTCACCTTAATGCTTATCCTCTTATTAAACTGGGGTATAGTGCAGATAGCATTAAAAATTAACTTTAGTTTGCGAGAGTTAAGTTTCATCCTAATGGGTTATGCAGTCTAGAATTGGCGCATCATGTTACAGCTGTACATTACACTGGTAAAGCCAATTTTGGAGCACTGCATACAATTCTGGTCGCTCTGCTGTAGGAAGGTTGTTATTAAACTGGAAAGGGTGCAGAAAAGATTTGTAAGAATTTTATTGGAACTGGAGGACTTCAGCTAAAGAGAAAGGCTGAATAGGCGGGGACCTTTTATCCTTTGGAGCGGAGAAGGCTGAGGCAGGACCTTACAGAGATTTATAAAATCATGAGAGGCATATTACAATATTTAAAAGACATTTGGACAGGTACATGAACAGGAAAGGTTTAGAGGGCTATGGGTCAAACACAGGGACTAGTTCAGTTTGGGATACCTGCGATAGGGTTGGACCAAATGGGCTGTTTACGTGCTGTACGACTATAAGTTGAGATTTTTAAAAAAGTAGTCTATTTATTACAAGCAACTCACTGTACATAAAGATCAATTCATGTGCTGTATTTTTACACTATTTACTTAGAAACAAAGAAAATACAAGAAATAGGCTATTCAGCCCTTTCAGTCTGCTCCACCATTCATTACGATCATGTCTAATCATTTAACTCAATATTCCAGGTATCGTTTCACTGAGGCCCTGTATAATAGCAGCAAGACATTGCTGCTTGGCATTGATTGATTAGATTAATATTGAGTCCTAAGGGTATCATTAAAGTACCCATACAAAATAACTAGGACCAAGATGGCCACTTGTCAATCTCCTTTTACTTGTTCTGTTTTAGCTGTGCTCCAGGAGGGTCCAAAAGATACACTTCCCTTGAATCTGGGTCAGAAGGATTAAGGAGTTAACTGCTTAACTTGTATTTGGCCATGTTATTTTCCCCACTCTGTTGGTGAAAATGCATTGCCAGAAATAAAATGCAGTCACAATCAAGAATTACTTTTTTTGCAGAGTCAAAACTCCTAATATGTATGCCCTACAACTCTTAAGGTTTTGGTATTATTACATGGATCTAAAACTGGAGACTTTTGATACATATAAATGATCACAATATTATTCAAATTCTAACAAATGCAAATAGCAGCACCATGTTAGTCGAGGAGAAGATTAGTATACAGTTAAGTTTCAACTTGAGGAGTAACGAAACAGTAATAAATCATCTAAATCTATCATAACCATCCGTTTCTTTCGCTATCAAATGTTTAGCTTCTTCTTAAATGTGTCCATATGGTTCACTTCAACCACTCCACGGCATTTCCACCACTCTTTGTATCAGGACATTTCTTTTGAATTGCCTATTGGACTTTTTGGTGACTATCACATATTAATGGTCTCAAGGTATGCTCTTCCCAACACGAGGAAACATTTTTTTCTGTATTCACTCTGCCAAAACCTTTTATAGTTTAAAAAAAAATTTATTAGGTCAGCACTCAGCATTTTTTCAAGAGAATCAAG